TCATATTCGGAATCAGCGTGAAAAATTGAGTCTACTCATGTACCTCACTCATGAGATCAAGCCTTTTTTAGTCTACAGTATTAGATCGAAGTGTTGAAAAAACCGCTCTTTTTCGTCGTTTTTTGAATTTACACAACTTAAATTTTCAATGTTCCAAAGGGGGGACAGGGGGCAGATTTGGCAGGCGAAAAATAAAATTTTTTCAAAAATAATCTGAATCGGCCATTTTGTTCAGCATTCGACGCTGATTCCACATATGTGACTTTCAATCGGAAATTTTTTAAAACGAAAAACCGACTTATCGATACTACTCCTTTCAATTATGTTTCCATATATAATAAAACCATCAAATGAAGTATTACCACTTGTTCATAAATGGTTCACTGATCATAATAATAATGAAATTAGAAAATTGACAGCTCTTCTTCTTGTCGAAGCAAAATATACTTTTGATGGAGCAATTGATATCATTATAAATTTATTAAAAGATGATAATGATCAAATGAGATATAGAGCTCAACGAATTTTTCAACATCCAGAACGAGATGTTAAAGAAGCTTCGAAAAAAATATCTGTAATAGGAGAAAAAACAATAATGAAAATTCTACAAAACATATTGACAACTGAACAAACTACAACAGTTCGAACCTATCTAGGCACCTTTTTCTTCGACTTGCTTTGGGATGATCCTAAAATATTTCAAAATTTACATAAAAAGATAACAATATTGAAAGATAACAATCCAAATCTTAGAACAATATCTTGTTTTAATCGTATTTTCTTTATAAATAGTGATACATGGAATTCAATAATGGAATCATTACAACATCCATCATATGAATCTTATTTAGAAGAACTACTTCATTTAATGATGCGATTAAAAACTGATCATCAAATTATGGAAGAAAAATGCATTGAATTTTCAAAATTACTCTCAATTAGAAATAAAAATCAATTTAAAGAAAAGATATATTTTAAAAGTACAGCATTAGATATTATGAAATTTATTATTGATGAAATTAGTACTTCTTCAAATACTGATGATAAAGAGTATATTGATATTCTTGAATCAAAAGTAATTAGTCATAATACTGTTAAAATTGAAGATCTTCTTAAAATGAAGTATACGGATGTTCGACATATAGGAACATACGTTTTCAATGTTCCAGAAGAATTTAATATTAGATTTATTGAATGACATTTCTATAAATATTCATATATTGGAAAAATTGATTAAATGGTTAATACAAAAAATGAAAAACTTTAAAGGTTTGAATGATACAATATTTTCATTGATTATGACTGAGAATTTATTAAGTTTGGTGTCTGTATGTGCTCAAAAAGACGGTTATCTATATCGAAAAATTACAAATTCACAAAACTTTCATAAAATTGAAATGATTAAACTTTTGGAAAAAATGTTGAACAATCATCCATATTTTCCAGCAAGAGGCAGTTCTTTTATCTTACTTTCAGCATTAGATAAACCTGATCATACGGTAATTGTGAATGCTGTGAACGTTTTACTCGATGAAAATGTTGCAAAAGGATATTCTTTAATTGGTATTCCTCTTATTCATTTATCATCAAATGAATTTATTGACGATTTATTAACATCTTTACAAAGTGGAAGTGCTATAAAAGTTTATGAAATATTAAAAATTATGACACAATTTGCTTTAGATGAAAAAATAGATGCTAATACTAAATCAAAGATAGTAAATTATATAATAAAAGAAATTGGTGAAATGAAAACAAAAAAACCTGTCAATTTTTATTACACAGATATTAAAATTCCTTTTACTACAACATTGGAAAAAGAATTATATAAATCATGGGTTAAAATACAAGGACTCTCTGGTAAAACACAATATTCTACAAGATAAAAGATTCAGTAACGAATACTATTATAGATCCGGAAGACTAGTTTCAATAAAAATGAAAATGTTTTCTTAAAAACTATTGGTCATAGCATGTTATTTATTTGTACAATTAAAATGAGAAAAATCTTTTAGAGAACCTGTATCGTGTAAATTACATATTAAAATCGATTTATGGTGGTAAAAAATACTCTGTAACAGTTGATGAGAGAAAGAACGCCTTCTATCCCATCACAGAAAAAACTACTATCCGTTCCAAAATACAATGCCATCGGTTACTTTTTGCATAAATTTTGATAGAACACAGATTGATACCTACGATTTTCAGTTTAGAAACTAGACATCTGACCGCATATTTGCGTAAGCAAGAACAAATTTCGAAAAAATTTTCGAAGCCGGTTTTTCAGGAGATCGTTGAAAAATCAGTTCCGTCCTCTGAAAGTAGGCATAGAAATCTATGAATTATTTTTCACAGATGTATAGTCCGAAGTGTCCTCTACAAAACCAGATCCAAGCGACATCTTAGAAATCTATGGTTCAGGAGTTATGGGCGCTTTTCCTGGAGCCTTACCACCACTCTGCCGTTAGGTTTTGGACTGTCAAAAACGAATGAATACATAGGTTAACATTCTGTTTTATCTGCAGTTTAATAAATTCTCAGTAAAGCTCAATAAATGTTGAAAAAGTCAACAGAAAATACTTTAGTTTCTGGAAAGGTTTCCAAGAAATCTTCGGAACTAAGAGAATATTTTTTATTGATTTTACGTACAGAATCAGAATCAACGGATAAAACAATGTGTTTCCTGAAATATGAATATATGCAGCATCAGCGAACTAATTCGATGTTTGGTAAAACGGAGTTTAGTGACTAGAGCTAAAAAGTGAAACTGCGATTTTTCGATAAAATTTCGGTGTGTTTCACATTTTGAATCATTTTTTCATAAAATTGTATCGAATTGAGCAAAGAGGTTGTTATATAAATGTTCACTGAAAACAGCAGATTTTGAACAAAGTTTTAATACCGTAAGTTACAACTTGAATATTGTGTGAGGCTTGCTGTAAATTCTGTGCACAGAAAAACTGTCATCTTTTTTGAATTGGAACAAAATAGAATCTCCTGAGATATTCTTGAAGCTGATGCAGCTTTCTTACCAACAGGCTGTATAAATCGTCTGATTTCTTTTCAATAAAAAATGCTTTTTCTGTTTCTTTTGAAAAACGTGGATTTTCAACAGGATCACCATCTGTAAAGATAATAACAATCTATCTAATTTCACCTTTTGCTTGTATTGTATGTGAGAATCGTTTAAATTCACCTATTGTTAACTCGTAAGGACGCGCTCTGGGGTAAAATTTACCCAGAGATTAGAATAAGTCATGAGAAAGTATTGATATTTAGCAGATAAAAGTGTACCAGAACCATACGGTCAAACAGAATGGACGTTCACGAAGCATTGTGGGTTTTAGCTGAATATCGCAGTCCTTGTTGTTGTTCTGTCGTCATCCTTAGTGAATGTTCATATAGCTGTGATTCTGCAGTGATAGCAGTAATAGTAACAGACATCTTTTGCCTTTTACCGTAATTGATAATCTACAATGATTGTCTTATATTCATCACAGATGGGCGGAAAACGATTTTTCTGCCGTCTCGTCTCAGGAGAGAACATTCCCAGGTGTACACCTCCATTTTCGATAATAGTATACCAGTTGACAGAGGATACTGACCTGAAAAAAACCCTAAAAGGATTTGGGCTCATGTAGTTTCCCGTCTGTTGAAATATATAGTTGCACGTAAAGATTCTTGAAATAGTCTAAGCTGCTCCTCAGCTTAAAACCCGAGATATGATGATATATCAACATCCTTTTCAAATATATCACGGTAACGTATTATAAATAATGTATCACCAAATTATTCAGCTAAATGGGGATTTTTTGTGGCTAACTGTTTGGATATTAGATGATGGTACAACATAATATAACCATGCTAGTAAGGAATCCTGTTAGTTTCAATATTTCTAGTCTATTTATAGGCACAGAATAATAGATTTAGTTTTGGGGTTAAGACGGAATCTGCTTGATCTTTTTACAAAATTACTGCTATCATTATCCAGTGTTTCTACCAGAGCTGATCACCTGCATGGTAAACTGCCTGCAAACTGCAGACAGTGCAGGCAGGTTGCAGTTTGCAGGTGAATAAAAAAAATTTCCACTAACGGCCGGCAGATAAAGAAGAATGTTTTTCTGCCTGCACTCCCTGCAGGGGAGAAGATTTTACCTGCATTCCCTGCAGGGAAAGACGTTTTTGTGAGGAGAATGAAAATAGAGAGGAGACGAAGATAAATACTGATCACACTGAAGGTCAGAATGATCTCTTAACGAA